TGCTTTTCTTTTTTATTGAATTTATTGGGGTGACATTGGTTAATAAAATTATATAGGTTTCAAGGGTACAATTCTATAACATCATCTGTATATTGTATTGTGTGTTCACTACCCCAAGTGAAGTCTCCTTTCATCACCATTTATCCTCCCTTTACCTTCTCCTACCTGCCCCCAACTCACTTTCCCTCTGGTAATCACCACTGTTGTCTATGAATTGTGCTTTTCAATCAGAAATAAGTTACATGTCATTTTGAAATGTTTAAGTTTCTTTTAACAATTTTTTTTTACCTACATTGTTGTGAGCAATAATCAACTCACCCAGATAGTAAATGCTATTTAAAATATTGAGTCAAAAGATTTAATTTTGCCAGGTCAGTGTGGCACAGTGATTGAGCATCGACCTATGAACCAGGAGGTCACAGTAAGAGCACATGCCGGTGTTGTGGGCTTGGTCCCCAGTAGAGGGCGTGCAGGAGGCAGCCAGTCAATGATTTTCTCTCATCACTGATGTTTCTATCTCTCTCTCCCTCTCCCTTTCTCTCTCTAAAATCAATAAAAACATATTTTTTAAAAACTTAATTTTTCATGAATTACTTTTCTCATTTTTCATTTATTTCTAATAATTCCTGTAGATAGTCTTTCTCTGTTTAAAAATAAATTCAACTTCTTCCTAGTTTATTTAAGAAGAAATTTTTACTCAGATACATTTTAAAATATGAATATATAGTAATTAGTCATCTATTATTTCTTTCAAGTTTTAATATGATGATTTGGCCTAATGTTTAAAATGTTTGAAAAAATATTTATTATTTATATTTATTATTGGAGTTTTGTAATTTGATATCTAACAAAATAACACTTTAAAATATTTGAAAATACTTATGTTTCCCCACCCCCCCACCTCACCTTTAGGTTAAGTTTCTCAGAATTTTTCAAAATGTACATTACAGAACTAAAAATTAACATTTTAATTATAAAAAATTACCATGTATACCATGGAAAAATATCTCTACATTTTAGGACATCTAAAAAATCTTACTATTAAAATTTATCACGCAGATATTTTTCTCTTTTCAAAAACAACAAAACAAACTTAAAAATTTATTTAGGAACATTTTATTATTTTTTATTTAAAAAAAATCTTTATTGTTGAAAGTATTATATATGTCCCCCTCCCTCCTTTTTTAGGAACATTTTAGATTCCCAGATTTAATTTTGCAAATGTCCAGAGATAAAAATCTCTCTGAGTTCCTGGAGGAATCTTCAAACATTTTTTTTTAATAATTAAATCTTTATTGTTCAGATTATTACAGTTGTTTCTCTTTTTCTCCCCATAGCTCCCCTCTACCCGGTTCCCACCCCACCGTC